GAAACTAATATGAAAATAGAACTCGTTTCAGCATTAGCAGAGCATAACCGTGTCAGATTCGGTACGCTAAAAAGTGTAGTGGAGAAATATCTAGATAAATGTGGTAGGCAGTGGGTTGCAATGGATAGTCTATTTGGAAAATTAGGTTTCTCGGCCATGTGAGTTGGATAGATGGATGGAGGGTTCAGGACTAGGTTTGTTGGTATATGTAATGAATTGATGGGTGCATGAATGCATGGGAGTTGGGTATAATCATGTGTTTTGACACTCGAGGGGGCGTTTGTAGTGTAGGGATTTCATGATTGAATATCAGCATCTTTTTGACTTCTGAAGCGAGTCTTCCCCAAGGACGTCTCTAGCAATCTGCGAATTGTATGATTTATGGATAGACAAGTACCATCAAAAATGACCCTTACAACCCGAGTCTAATTTCAAGAATCTAGCAAATGAAAGTAGAAGAAATGAAGATGATATATAACAAGCGTCTAACTCCTTCTCACTCTAGACAGTGGTGATGTAATAATTCGAATCACCTTTCTTGCCCAAAATATATTCACTCCTAACGTTAGAGGGGCAGGGAGCATTGCGTGAAATCGAGGTAAGTTTTCACAACATAAAGATCTCAAAGCTAGCCTTCGGAAATGTAGGAGTAGATTACAGTCAATGGAATGGGCAAAGTTGGCATCCGATTGGTCATTAATATTGAGAAATGCATTAAGATGGGAGGACTTGGGAAGCAAGAGATGAGTTGCTCGAATAGTCACTGGTGCACTACTATACTAATGCTCATGCTAGATAGATCATCCGTGATAAAGATGTCAAATATGTAAAAAAGCAGGTTTAAATCCATCTTCAATTTACAACTTTGCAAGTATAATATTGAAATACGAATCCATGATATCGGCAGGATGATATAAAGCCCATATCATCAACATAAGATCTAGATCCTGATCACACGCAGGAAGGAAAGATATTTCTCCGACCCACTGTCCAGAAAATCTCATAGATGTGTACCTAGTATGTAGGGCAGATCCCGTAAGCAACTACATGGTCAAAAAGAGAATATAGTCTATAAGTACGATGACAAGAAACGACTGACGGCGAAGACCTGAAAACAACTCCAATAGGAACAGTAATTCATACAACAATAGCAATTCCGCATCAACCTCCACAAATCAAACAAAAAATTCGAACTTGAGAGATGTCGGCTATGCTAACAACCGCAAGAACAATCTTATTTTACACATAGGTAGAAGCATCAACACACTTCTCATCCCCCATAATTTTCCGTTTCCGCCAGGGACGTGTGGTATTTGAGAGGAAATGTATGGTCGGGTGAAGTTGTTATATACCTGGTACTTACATTGAAGTTTTTCCGGTTGTATTTTCGAGTCTTGGGGGGAGGGAAAGGTTAGGAAGGGAGGGTATTCACTTCTGTGCTCTTTTTATGGGTATGTGTTTATTGTCTTGCAGAGGTTGGACACTTGCGCGTGGGTATATAAAGCGTGGTGCTGATTGTTAGGTTTGAGAATATGAAACGACAAGCCTTTAGAATCGGGAGTGGTTAGGGATGGAGAACAAGAGTGTGCTATGACGTACCTTTTTGAGCTCCGCTCTCGAATGGCTGTTGGAGTTGGAGCAAGAATAGATAGACCATGCGAGTTGGAGTGATGGTTCTAATATATATCTCGTCGTTTTACGCCTCTCACTGTGAATCATGGATGTGTATGTGGGATGTTCGATTGAATAGAAATGGCAGTGATGAGAATTGAGTAATGATAGTAGATTGACAACGATGGTATGTTTGTTAAATATTCCAGAAACTTGAGAGATCAGGTGCACAGAGTGAGCACTTGCAGCGCTTTCCAAGTTTTGGAATAGGGTCACTCCTTAGTTCACTGGGGGACTACCTATGCTTAGAGATTTGAAGAGAAAAGGATCGATGAGTGGTTCATGGGTACTTGCAGTGAAGCCATCTGAGGCGGAAGGGTAGACAATGGAGGTGTAAGAACAGGTGCATGATATGAACATGTAGGATCAGAGGTACTATTTTATGATTTCAAAATACCATTGCTCCACTGCTCCAACCCCCTATCATGCTATATTAAAGTACTAACTCCATACACCACCACTCGATAAAATATGACCAATCCTTAACACCATACCATCTAAGACTCCACGCCATGCATCAAAATGCCACGATCACGACCAGCGTCAGATATTCACAGTCAGCCTTCAAAATACATATCTCCCCCTTCCCCTTTCCCTTCCAATCATCGCCCCGACCTAGGTCCACTAGGTAAACCCGGTCTCCTTCCCGCCCCAGGTCCTCCACTGGGTAATCCCATCCCCCTCCTCGGCGCCGGTGGTTCATAACCCCCGCCCCCAAACTCCGCCTCATTCGAAGCCCACGGGCTCGTCGCCGCCATAAACGGTTTGTCTCCTCCCGAATCATAGCTCGCATCACCACCCGACGCACCCGCATTAGTATTCATCGCGCTACCCTTCGATCTCCCCATCTTCAACCTATCTCGCGCAGATAAACTACCCGTTGCTCCTGCACCCTGTTGACTCGCGAACGGACTCTGAGTGCGAGCCGGACCCGCTGTTCCTCTTGCGGCGCGCAAACTTCCTGGTGGTGGCGAAGGCGCATTTGTTCTTCCTGTCGCGCCACCGAAGAGACTGTTTAATCCTTGCGAGCCGCCTGGTATAGAAGGCGCTTGACCGTATGTCGAACCGACGGGTTGGGTATACATTGGTTGGACGACAGGAGCAGGTGCTGGACCGCGTGGATCGGGGGGGAGCCACGCTGGCAGATTTTGTTTCTTCTCTTGGAGATAATAGGTGCGCATCACGCGGCAGAGATAGGTGTCATCTTCTGTATCACCGTCGGCTTCGCCTTGGAATATGTTTTGTCGGATCGAGCTTACTTTGGAGGTAAGAGAGTTAAGATAGGAGGAGTACATTGTGTTGATTTAAGGACCGTTGTTGGACCTGTGATGGCTAAGGTTGTGTGTCGCAATTGAAGTTGGTTGGTATGCGGTGATTCACCGACAATAAATTCAAAGAATTTGTTGTTCTTGTTTCGAAAGTATGGCTGGTCTTAAATTTATCGTGTTTCGTGGAAAGGCGTCGCAAATTAGTTATGAAGTTATGAATTTATGGAGAGTAAGTATTAAGTTGAAACTTTCAAGGTTTCGCTGCAAGATAGGATCTGACCCCACCACGCCAAAGGATGAGACTAAAAGGAGGCCGATGAAAGAGCCACTGATGGTACCGGTATTAAAATTGATATGGAATTAATCACAATAAATTAGTCAGGCAATAATTCATTTGGTTCTTTCTTCCAGAGATTGTTCTTGAATTTCGCTTGCTTTGATATACATAGCCAAGTAAGAAAGCTGTCTACAGTACTATAAATTAACAGCTATTTTTGAGGGACCAAGAGCACCAACACCTATAAAGAACGCCCAACCCCAGGTATAATGAAAGTCCATGCATTCCCAGACTAGAAAGCCAATTCTCGTTGTGGTCCTTCGAGCTCCTGTTCGTATTCGACTTCCATCTTCGAGATTCTCTTCTTTGGCTTGGTTTTGGAAACTGGTGCTCTCTTTCTCTTTGCGCCGGTAGCATTCTTCTTGGCCTTATCATCCTCGCTGCTGTCACTCTCACTATCTTCGCTATCTTCTTCACCAGTAGCTTCCTCCTCGTCACTTCCAAGCCAATCCTCGATATCTTCCAAATCCTCTTCATCCTCTCCCAAGTCACTAACGTACTCAACGTCGCCGACGCCCTCTTCATCTTCATATTCTCCTTCTTCCTCAAACTCATCCTCTTCGATCCCTTCATCCATATCCTCATCTCTAGTTCCTTCTCCTTGTCTCTCCAAACCTTTCAAAACCTTCTTCCAGATAGATTCGCTGACGTTCAATGGTTGATCGCCATAAGCACCACTCCTCAATCTTTCGATCAATTCTCTTTCAATCGCCCTCTCGACCTTAGCAGCTGCCATTGCCTTTCTCTCTCTGGTTTCTTCTCTTCTTCTAACCTTAGGCGCCATTTTTGGAACAAGTTTTTCGCCCAATCTATCTTCCTCTTTGGCCAATCTTCTCATGCGAACACCAACTTGCGTCAATCTTGTGAGTCTCTGCTTGCACTTATGAATGAGGAAGTTCGGCCAGTACTTCAATTTATCGTCGATTTGTACCAATGCGTTGGCATAGTTGGAAGAGAGCTTTACACGCTCCCATAATTTCGATGGCATGTGTGCTCTTTCAATTGTTTTCATGTAAAGGTAAAGTGTACCGGTTTGAGGATTTGCGCGAATAGTGGCATACCGGGAGTTTGCGAGAGGACATGATTGTCGATTACAGAGACCAGTAACATTGTATTCGTTGCGACAAAAAGTTTGATCCTTCGTAGTCCTGATATGATTAGTTGATGAAAAGAGTTATGTATATGATCAATCAACTTACTTGAGCTTGAAAGAGCAAAATTGTTGGTTAATAACCTGCCAAACGATTTCGTCTGACGACATGGTGATTGAGGATTTTAAGAAGTTGAAGTTATTTTGTGTTCTTGAAGAATAAAGTCTCTTTTTCTTTTCCTCACAGCACGAATATTTTCCATCAACTTTTTTTCGGGGCAAGACGAATTCTGCCGGAAAGGGCGGTGAGATAATCACGTGCAGCTGGAATTAGATTCATCATAGCTTTTGACCCTGCTCTGATTGGTTGGTCTATGCATCGGCATCAGATACTTCGTACTTCGTAGATCGATTGACATTAACTACATGAACTACATGGATGGGACTTTACCAAAGATTATCATTAAACTTACAAAGCTCACCGGGAGCGTCTCTATGATGTGTTTTGAATGTATGCTTTTATATGGAATAATGTCTAAACTTCGATTCGTTTTCATGATTATTCCTTTGTCCTATCAAAGTGTTGATCATGGAAACATTTGATACAGAGCAAGACTTGAAAGGATCTTCTATTATACCGAAGTTTTCCCTGCTCGTTTACTTCTTCCAGGTACTCATCACATCACTTCCACTCACTCTCGCATCACACAACACAGGGTCATCTGTCTCTTCTACCGAACAGCAAGAGACTCTCATAAGCATCGCTATATATCTATATTTTCACATAGAGGTCCATCTCGATAGGAATCAATAATCCATCACGTGCAACAAACGTAGAAATGGCTTCAACATATCCAACTTATATTTACAAAATCATTCCTGCTGATGCAAAACCTTCTTCGCCACTTCCAGAAGTCCTTCCAGTCTCTGATCTAGATAAGAGAGATGGATTTGTTCACTGCTCTACCTCGAAGCAATTACTGAGAACTTTGAATGCATTTTTCTCGTATGTTCTTGCACCGTCTTCCTTCGATCTCTACATTCTTTCCAGCATTTCTTGGCATCCCCTCCGTGTCATTGCTTATAATTAACGCTCAATTAGAAACGAGTCCCACGTCTACATTCTCCGCATCAAGTATGAGCAAGTAGCTCCATACATCAAATGGGAGGATGCAGTGGGAAAGCATCCCGAAGAAATAGGCGGATGTTGGGATACAGAGGGAAAAGCGGGATTCTTTCCTCACATCTATAATGGGTTGAAGGTTGGAAAAGAGGAAGTCGATGATGTAGGAGAGTGGAGAAAAGGAAACGAAGGTTGGTCCGGTGAGGACTGGTGTTGGGGAGAGGTGGATCGTCCCATCTAATTATGAGATTAAAGACTACGCGGCTGCAAGATAAGCTTGGAGATAAACAATTTCTTACAAAAGGTGACTTTCCCGACTTAAATTGCGTTTGTGATAGTGTGCTTTGGGTAAGAAGCGTCGCGGGTTTCGTGGTTCAGACAGATCCAATAATTTAAGTATTGGTACATCTAATGTCTTGGGGAACAGTGGAATGAAAAGTAGGTTAGATCTCGCACTCTGACGATATCACCGTATGCTTTGATGCTCGGATTCAATCACAGATCTACTTCAAAACATGATTCGTTATCTACTTTCACTTATTTTCTTCAAAAAGTGGTCCGTCGCGACCAAATACAATTTCTTTTTCAAAACGGTCAAACTAGAGAAAACACAATTGTCAATTCGAGACAAGCAATACCCAGGTGGGTTTCTTAATGTTTGAATCTCTCATTCTGGCAAATGCTAGATGAATCTCGTCGTTTCCTATTTCAATTCTGTAAGGAAAACGCGGCAGGCGCAATGGTTACGAAGCCATATTCATCCAGAAACTTTCAGCTAAGTCATCCTGCAACAAAACATCAAGCATCTCAAGTTATTTCAGTTGAACTTGACTGCGTCTGTTTCTTGGAAAGACTAATAGCATATTGTATTGGCTCACTAATCATTCCTAATCCGAAATATAACGTTCATTAGAGAGCGAATGATCGTAACTGTTTGTTGCAAGTCAATAGCTCATCGGAGGGCATCAATATTTGCACTATCACCGAAAAGGATCTCATCATGGCTGATGGAACTGCAGATGAGCAAGCAGCGCTTGAAGAACTACACAATGATGTTTTCTCGGAAGTACCTCCGTCGAATGATGACGAGATGCCGGATACCCCAAATTCGCCTTCCACACAAAATCCGCCAAATAAAGATTATAACTATGTCGATACCGAGCAAGTGAAACGTTATACTTGTCCGTATTGCACAAAGTCTTATATAAACACTCGCGAATCGATGTCACATATTGCCCCTATTGATATGGAACAAGCGGAGGTTCTTAAATGCCCTCATTGTGAAGTCCCTTCCATCAGAGAGAAACTAGAATTCACGGAGGAAATAATAGAAGCAAGACTCAAAAAGAGCTACATACCAATTTCTACGGGAGCGAAACGTTATTTATGTCCGTATTGCAAGAGGGATTTCAATACTACTTTCGAAACGATGTGGACCATCGTCCCTGAGTTGACCGAGCAAGGAGAACTTCTTACATGTTTGTATTGTCAAAAGTCTTCGCTGAGAACTACTTTGGAATCTCATTCCGATACGATGTATGTTTTCCATATTCATTCCTCGCTTCAGCAACTTCCGAAATTCTTGACCCATGAGCCTAGCCTGATACTCATCATGATTAGCTAATTATCATTATTTCTATAGGTTCCGCGAATTTCCTCACATTGCCATCCCAGCCGATGAAACTAGTTCTTCGAATAGTAACATTCATATTTCGCACCAAACATCCTCCCCAGATCAGGATTTAACTGGCACACCATCATCACAATTCTTGGAAGGGATCGTTCACATGCCAGCTTCTCAAAATTCGCCTAAACAAGAACCAGCTTTCCAAACTATTCTCGACCGACAACTAGCTATCCAAAATACCACTAATCAATACCCAGCATTGGAATTACCCCCTAATCAACAATTAGCTTTCCAACCTGACTCAAATGAACAACTACTTTCTAACTCGAACTCCTATCAACAACCAACTTATCAATCCGAGCTCTATCAACAACCAGCTTTCCAAATTACTCTCGATCAACGATCAGGTATCCAAGATATCACTAATCAATACCCGGCTTTTCAAACTGCCTTTGATCAACAGCCAACTTCTCAACCCAGTCTGAACCGACAATCAATTTCTCAATTGAGTTTCAATCAACAATCAACTTTCTTACCCACCCATCGTCAAAAACCAGTTTTCCAATTTAATCCCTCTCAGCAACCTATGGCATGCCCTACTCTCGATCAACAACCACTAGCTGTTCGCCCTAATTTCAATCAACAGTCAACTTCTGACCCTAACACAGATCAGCAACTGGCTTCCAACCCTTCTTCCCAAACCGATCCACTTGAGTCACTTAAATGCCAAATTTGTGGCATGGGATTCTTTAACTCTCACAGGAGTCTGCAATCACATAAAGGCCAAGGCTGCAAATTTCATGTGCGCTATTTCTGTCCGGAACGAAATTGCGATTTTAACCGAGAAAAACGTCTTGACTGGTTTACGGAGAAATCAAAATGGCGTAGACATCTGATAAACCAACATAATTTTTCATTTATTGCTGGTGTTTTTTATACTTATAATGGTGAAGTAAGAGATTTGCGTGAACCTACTGGATGGCGTGCGTGTTGATTGGTAGACTTCTTGAGGATGTGAATTCATGGATTTGGTGTGGAGGCAGATCTGCTATCGTCCATTCGGCGGGAAAATCACTCTTGGATTGTCCGGGGAGTATAGCTTCGCTTTCTTCCTAAAATATATGGGAATGGGAGCTTGAGTATCCTTCTGTATTCTTTGTAGAACATCCAAATCTAAACATTCTTTCAATGTGCTTGTTTGGTAAAGTGCCTCGCGGTTGAATGACTGATTGAATATGTATGCCAATGTACGGATTATATCCGAGATGTTCAAGTTCAAGATGAAAACGTTTGATAAACTGCGTGATACTAATAACCCTTGAAAATCTGGCTGTTCAATTCCTCACTCTGTTCCCTCTTTCCTCTTCCTTCTCCCCTCCACTCTTCCCTCCTCTCTTGAAAAAATCCTCTACATCAAAATTCATTATACAAATAGATCTCTAGATTTCATAAATAATTTATTTTCTAGATTACTTATTTAGTTTTAGTAAAATATAATAAAATAAAATAAAATAAAATAAAATAAAATAAAATAAAATAAAATAAAATAAAATAAAATAAAATAAAATAAAATAAAATAAAATAAAATAAAATAACTAAATAATATTTATATCTATTTATTATATAAAGAAAGTTTATATATTTAATATTAAAATATTAAAATAAATATTTCTTTTTTTCTTTTTTTTTCTTTTCTCCTTTTTTCTTATTCATATTGATATCTACAACCTCTACTTCAATCTCTATTTCAATCTCATCCATCCCCTTATATATTCAAAATAAATCCACACTTACTTCACCTCTGAAATCCCTTTCTTTTTCTTCTTCTTTTTCTTCTTTCCTTTTCATATCACATTGCATATACATATACATTTAATTTCCAACTCCGCTTTTACACTTATTTCTCATTTCCTTTTTCTCTCCCCTCCCCTCCTCTCCTCTCCTATATCAAAATCAAGATCAAGTAAAATCAAGATCAATCAAACCTATATACAAGATACCAACATCAAATATAGAAATGAATATGAAAATGAATATGAAAATGAATATGAAAATGAATATGGAAATGGATATGGAAATGAATATAAAAACCGATACTCCAGAGTTCTGTTGCTGTGGGAACTTGGAGTTGGGAATTTGGAATTTGGAATCTGGAAGGGAGAGGGAAAATATTTTGTTTTTATTGTGTTATGTTGTGGATTGATGTGTATATGTACCTATATCTAAATGAGTACCTGCTTACCTACCTACGTCGAGTATACATGATTACTTTATCAACATCCATCTCCTATTCTCTCCACATCCACATCAAACAACAATGAAGTCCTACCTACTTACCTACCTTCCTACTCACACATCACATCAATTACATCATCACATCATCACATCATCACAAAAGAAAAATTATAAAATGTAAATTGAATATTCTTTTTCATTTTCTCATTTCCATTTCCCATTCCTCACCCACACACTACCCTCTCACTACACCATCTCTTGCAACCCTCCTATCAAGCTCATGAAACTTCTCTTTCCCTCACTTCATACGTATACGTGTATTTCATCTCCTCATCACATCCATCACGAATCATTACTGAAATCGAATCCACCTTCTTGTCACCAAGATCCACTGACAATCTTCCTTCTCTCACACTATCTCATCTGATCTCCTCCCCACGCGTGTTCACCCCCCCCCCCCCCTCTCAAATCCATTCTCCTCCACAATCCCCTTAAACCCCCATTCCAATCCAATTCCCAAAGAAAGGAAACCCAAACTAGAAACCAACCAGTCAAAAGAAAACGTAAAAAACGGTAGAAAAACAAAGATAACCTAACCCTTGAAATAAAACAATAAGTTTGTTGCCTTCGCATGCCAAAAGAAAAAAACTAGCTAAGACTACTCAAACCAGAAATCTTACAAACGCAGTTGTGAAAACGCAAATGAGACAAAAAAGTCAAGAATTATGCTCCCACTTCCCCCACCCCAGCCATGAACCCGCTCGCTTCCATATCAAGAGATGACGTATAAAACAAAAATGGTGCACGTGTCTGTCAATAAAATTGACGAAACTTTTATCTACTTCTAGCCGATTTTGCACGAGAAGAAACAATATTTTGCCGAAATAGAATGAAGGCCGCCCGGGCAGAAAGTAATACAAGAAAAGGAAAATCCCTTTCAGTTGTTGTAAAGGCGACGTAAACCGATGTTGTAAGCGCTAAGAGAGATCAAAAGATGGTACTCTTAACTCTCGAATGTGATCGGCCCTTGCCCGAAGCTCCGGAAGCTTTCCTCATTATATGTTCTTCCCGTTTGAGAACCATCTCACACCAACCACCTTTACCGCCTGCACGTTCTTTTCCTACACAAGGGTCGAGAACAGACATCCATGCTTCTTTGTCGGCTGGCGAGTCTGCATAGAAATCAATGACTTCACCATTGTTGAATCGAATACGGAAACCTTCTTCAACAAACATGTAACCTTCCTCGTCTTCAGCAAAACCAGACTTGCGACGTTTACCAGATTTGGCAGTGGTTTCCTTTTGTGTTAGTGCTCTTCGATCATCAATCAGTCTATTGGCGTTTGCAAGATTGATAGTGACACGAGGCTGCCTAGTTGACTCGTGGTAAGCTGTGAGTTTGCTGCCTGATAATCTGAAGAAGCGACGACGCCAGAACTTGAAGTGTGTTAGTAATGATCAGATGATGGGGGCATGTGAAAACTTACAGGACAGTCACCACCTTGTTGACTCAGGTGACCCTCAAATTGCCTAGCAACCTCGAGTTCGGCTTCTTTCATCTCACGAATGCAAGCATTCATACTCTTGGGCATGTCATCATCGCCTGCACCCTTTGGTTTTGGCACGAAAAGGAGCTGCAATTGTAACTTTCCAATGGTATAAGGAGCGCGCTTTCGAACTGGAGGAGGAACGCTACGTTTGCTCATGACACTCGACGATTGACTGACTTCTTCGGTAGCCCATTCATTGAAAGCAGCAACGTCGACATTGTAAGGTCTTCCGAAGCAGCGAGTCTCATGATCCTTTAGACAAACGTAAGATCTACCAAAGCTACCATCTGCGGCAGCAAGCGGTGAGAGAAGATCCCACGCAGTTGGCTGCGATGATTTCTTCAATGCTTGAGCGTCTTGTTGTTTTTGTTGTGCAATGCGTTGTTCTTCTTCCTTTTGCCTCATCTCAAGTTCCTTTCTCTTCTTGGGTGAAGCAAATACTCGGCTGAAAGTCGAAGGCTTTGAAGGTTTTGATGCTTTGATTGGAGAAGTTTGGGCGCGCTTTGGTGGTGGTGGCTTCTCAAGTTTTGCATTCAATGTTAATTGAAACTCAAGCTCATTTGGCACAACAAGTTCGAATTCTTGTCCAATAGGAGCATTTCGTCCCAACTCTAACCATGCTGTAGTAACACAGTGCACACCATTATCTAGAGTCAGGCTGAACCATGATCGTTCATCTATCCTCATGTTAGTGTAGCCAAAGGTAATGATTGAGTGAAGACCTACTTTTGGGTAAGGGGAGGTCCAAGTCCTTCACTCCAATGACTTTCACGAACAACCTCCCTCGCTCAGTAGCTTCATCAGATGCAGGCTCTGCGACTTGACCTTCTGTTACAATACCTAAGCCAGTGGCATTACTTTCATGACCCGGCATCGGTGGGACTGGACCAGTTGGAGGCTTCTTGCGTGGACTGGAAGGTCGAGCGCTGCTTCTACGAGAACCGTTCCATGGTTCAACGACCCAAGACTGTGGTCGATTATCTGGTTTAGTAGGTGAGTTTTCGACTGATTTGGTATTCCGTGGTTCTCTTTCATCGCTGCTAGCAACAACGACTTTGGTGTTTTGTCGCATCAAGTATCCTCGCTGTCGTGGACTCCTGTTAGCATGGTCATTCTTTTCGGTTAGGTTATACAATTCGGACGCTTGTCCAGGTCCACCAGTAAGGAAATTCGGGTGAGTAGAAGTTAAATTATATGCTACCTTTGAAGATTCAATGACCCGGTCGAAATCTGACTCCAAGTTAAGTCCAAGATCACCACCGATGTCTAGTGTGAGACTTCGCTTTTTGAAGCTGGGAGCTCGCTGTATGGTACCCCTCTCCGCATCATTCTCATCATCGTTATCATTATCCTCATCCTCGGGGTCTTGCTCCCCATTTAATGAAGGGCGATTGCGGTGTCGCTGCGGGATTGGGGGAACGACAGGACCAGCGCCACTGACTTGACGTCGAGCTTCACGCATGGCTGCCAGGTCAGAAGGTGTTACGGATGGCCGTGTCTTGAGTTTGGATCCGCTTCGGGCTTTGATAGTAGCTACTGTTTCGGGAATACCAGGAGAGTCTGAGGGCGGTGGTGGTGTAGGAGAAATCTTAGGAGGGTTAATGAATGGGTGTTGGAATGGCTGATCAATCGATGATCTAAATGGTTGATCCAAAGATGCTCTGAATGGATGATCAATTGGCTCATCAACTGGATGATGAATCACGGAATCAGACTCTGACATTTCCTCCTCCTCCTCATCATCTTCTTGTGGTCCCCATTCAGATCCATCATATTCTGGACGTGAAACCATTTTCTTGAGTGGCGACATGGGAGCAGGTTCCTCTTGAGGCTCGGGAACAATCTGCTGTGGCTCTGGAGTATCATCCTCGGTCTCTGCCTCGGTCTCTCCCTCGGTCTCTGTTTCCGTCTCTGGTTCAGTTTCCGTCACACTTTGTTTACGCTCATTGATTGGTGCCTGGTGCACAACTTCATCGTCCGCCTCTGGTGTTTTGGATCCTTGCAAGTGTTCATGTGCCTCTGACATTTGAGAGACCTTTCTCTCCTGTTCGTTTTGAGGTTCAGGGGATGGCGTCATGTAAGATCTCAGACTCAGACTCAAGTCTGTATTATCGGCGAGAAGTCCTGAAAACTCTGGCAGGGAAATTCTTCTGTTTTCCTTTGCCGGATCCGATGAGATACTAGAGGGACTGATGTTTCTTGGAGTTGGTGGACCGTCCTCCTCTGGAACGCTATTCGATTGGAATTGTGGGCTTTCATGAAGTGGCATTTCGGATGATGTTCCATCGGAATAATGGCTCTCCAATTCAGAATCATCCACCGTCCCAGCTTCACTCTCAGTCTGATGACTCTCCATTCCAGATTCGGTACGCTGATACATGTCAGGAAGATTGTACATGTCAACTCCTTCCTCGTCTCCAGCCTCAGATTTGATTAAGATGCTATTTTCGTCATCCTCATCTTCCTCATCATCCTCGTCTGCCGATTCGACCAAAGAATCCTCGGTAGATGGAATAGGAGTGTCGGGGTCAATATGTGCCATATCAGCGGTGCTTGGACGTTCGGGACTTGAGCTAGGTAGAGGCGAATCCAGATTGTAATCTGATTCCCTGGTAAATGGTTCCTGGCCATTGACCTTTCTTAAAATCGATTCTCGTGAGATGCGAGGTGGTAATTGATACGAACCCAATCCTGGAAGATCATCCAATGCATCTTCATCCTCACGATCTTCTCGGTCTTCTTTGTCTTCATGAATTTTGATGGGCTGGGCCTCTCGTTCAGGTGTTTGACTCTTACGTGCTCCTGCACGACGCATTCGACGTTCTCGTTGCTCATCTCTCTCGGCAGATTTTGGTCTACCTTCAGAAGACTTTGGCCTATCATCGTCCTGAATCATCATCAAATGCAATCTTTCCTCCAAAGTCAGCTTGTTTCCATTCATTCCTTGAAGATCTGCTTTGCTGATAGAGGTTGGAGGAGGTGGCGTCGGCAAATTTCTCGGTGAACTTGTTGCTCCACGTTCAATACCCGAGGACGCTGAACCTCTTCGGTCATTGGCAGCCATACCGGGAAGAGGTGGCAGTGGTCGATGTTCGCCATTTGAGTTTAACGAATCATTGCGTGTTCCACTAGGTCGCCCAGCCGAGGATGAAGGACGAGCATCAGGCCTTGGACTACCATCTGGACCGTCAAATGGATCATCGAAGTAACCAGAACCTTGACCATAGCTGTTTCTCGGGCTGGGATGTCTCCAGTCATCCGGTCCAACAACCGGTGTCTTTTCGATATCCTCAAGAGAAGCATCGAAGCTATCATCTTGTTCAAGCCCGTTGTCATGGTAGTAAAGATCCTCTTCGTCATCCTCCTCGGAATCATAACTGTTCTCTCGAGAACCTGTTCCAATGGATGATATATCAGGTGTAGCTAATTCGTACTCGTTGATCTGTGGAGGAGCTACATCAAAAGTAACACTCTTCGCATGTCTGTGTAAACTTCGTCCAGGTGGAAGCTCTCGTTCTCTCTCATCACCCGAATCTTCATCGCCAAAAGTATTGTGCTCTGGATCGTAAAGTGCTTTGCCAGTAAATCGACTAGTTGCCATGGAGGATTTCGTGGGAGAAATTTGATCTCTGCTGGGTGATCGTAGACCGTTTGTTGCTGCTGCTGCTACCTTCAAGGGCTCTCTGTTTGGGCTCAGAGGGGGCGGACTGGCCAGTGAAATACTGCTTTTACTATCTGTCTTCATGTGGTTATATGGTCGATTTTGCTCCGATCTAAACCCTTCCAGACCTTTTCCTCCATAAGCATTGCCTTGTATGTTCTTCGCCAGTGGTCTCTCAACCACCGGTATTGACATTGGGTCGTATTCGAGTTTCTGCTCCCTGGCGTACATGGTGCTGTTCTTCACACGCGACGCGCGCTGTAAACGTTCGATGGATGATTTTCTTGTTGGTGATATCGAAGAATCTTTGAACGCATTTTCCGTGCCGACTCGATTTGGTGTGCCTGGATCACGGTTTTGCCAGAAGAGATGTGGAGAGGAGCCTTCGGCGGAAGTGAACGGGGAGGACTGGAATGGAGACGAATCTCCATTGAGATTGAGACTCATCTTCTACGTCAGAATTAGCTTTTAAATCTCCGAGAGACGGAGAGAGAGAGAGAGAGAGAGAGAGAGAGAAATGCTGAAAATAGACACATTGAATTCTTACCTTTGTGGCTTGCTTATAACTTGGAGAATTCCGCCTCTGAGCAGTTGGGGCTAGCTCTGAAAGTGGTCGCGGTGTAGAAGTTTTGACTGGTGATCCAGATGAGATGGAACCTTTTTGAATCCTCAGTGGAGGAACCTGCATTGTAAATATTAGATTTCATGTTTATCTTGCAATAACAACCACCACGGCATGGCTCTCCACGCGCTCTATCATCTAAATTTATCTATCGATGTGTGCGCTTACCGGTTGCGAAGACGAAGAAGACATCTCATCAAGTTACCAACTGCCAGCCCAAAAACCCCGAATTTGTCGTTGTGGAGAAGGATAATCACCTTGCAGTAGCCAGATGTATATTTGTGGAATGTGGGATTTTGGACAAATGACAATGTTGATAAAAAAGCAAGCAAGCAGGCCTTTTTCGTTATCAGACGCGAGGAATGCGCGTAGCTGGTAGATGATGGATTTATAGTGGTTAAGAACGAATGAATGTATGGGTGAGTTGATTTGTTGAATGGGGTTACGAAGGAGAGATTCACTCCCGCTTTGAATACTGTACTGTACTGTACTGTACTGTACTGTACTGCACTGCTATTTGATTTAATGGGAGATTAAAAAAAGGAGCTTCAATATTAAAAGGGAGAAAAGCGGTGGTCGTTATTGGCTCGAAAAAAGAATTATCGTGAGGAAGATAGTTTGCAGGTACAGGTACAGCAAAGAAGAATAAATTAGATGGTTAGAAGAAAGAGAGTAAAGTAATTGGGTGTTGTTGTTTGGGGCGAGCGAGGGAGTTGAAGGGGGTGTATCAACAAAAGATTGTCGTACCGGGACCGATTATGTTATCACCGACTGAACGGGTTGACTGGTAGGGGAGAGAGAGAGAGAGAGAGAGAGAGAGAGAGAGAGAGAGAGAATGAGAGAGGAGAGGAGAGGAGAGGAGAAGAGAAGAGAAGAGAGGAGAGAAGAGAGATGAGCGTATAAAATTGTATGGGGCTGACTTTTTGTGGTTTTAATGGGATGGATGAATTGAGATGAGATGGGATAGGAAATGGATGATGGATGATGTACTCTATTACCCGTAATAGAATAATAATGGAATAATGACATATCGGACAATCGAAGAATAATCGGATAATCGTAATAATAATAATAATAATAATAATAATAAGAGTAACGTTAAACAAGAATTTATTTATTTACTATTATTATTATTCTTGTTCGTCTTCTTGTTATTATTACTGTTATTACTCGTACTGTTATTATTATTATTATTATTATTATTATTATTATTATTATCATTATTACCATTAATTATGCTTGAATGTACTGACTTGGGTAACTTTTTTTTTTCTTTGGGTATATGTGGTAGGGGTAGATATTTAGACGCGTCGCTCTAGCAACTGTGCTCCCTTTTTTTTTCCTTTCCTTTCCTTTCTTGCTTCCGTACCTACCTCAGCCTTTCGACCTAGTCTGTAGTCGTAGTCGGTAGTCGGTAGTCTGTAGTCTGTAGTCTGTGGTCTTCTAGTATTCTCCTAGTATGACTGATTACCTAGTCCCATGAGTATCAGAGTGAAGTAAGATAATGATAGTATGATATGATACGGACTACCTACCTACCTAGTACCTACTACTTCCTGCCTCCTACCTAGTCTGATGAGTGAGGTGTGAGGTGTGAAGTGTGAGGTGTGAGAATGAGAAACCTTGAATAACCCCTAATCCTAGTGAAGTCTTCCACGCCCCGCACTAGAATTCAAATGAAATTACAGATATCATCCGATGATTGGTGAATTGAAACTTAATTGTCGCCCCAATTGATAGCTAAAGTTCCAATTCAGTCCCCATTGGATTCAATCCATGGATGCATTTGAGACCTTTCGACTCTTTGGAGCAAGGTAGAATATTCGAGTTCATACACAATCCATCGACAATTATGAAAGAGAAGATCACACAATGCGATTTGTTCCTGGGAGTGTCTGTGTTCCTGCAGAAGGACCAACCGACAGAGGTCAAGAGCGAGTAATATCGCTCGCACATATACACACGACCGTGGCAGGTAATATATGTTGCTTCATGAACCATCCACCCCGTCGTCTCAAATATCACAAGACGGTATTCACGAGATGGACATGATTGGGTGTGAGCTTCATCGTGAAGAATCAATGTAAATAAAGAAGAAAGGGATCTCCACTATCAACAGCTTATCATTCATGTAGGCATAAGTACGTACTAGCCTAGACTGGGGACGATGTAGGAAGAATGATGCAACCAAGTCCTTCGTACATACATACATACATACATACATACTTACATATACATACATATCATCATTTCATGCATACGACTCTCCTATAGGTTGTTGTCTTTGCTATCGTATATCTTACTTACATATCGCCGGTGCTTGCATCAACGTGATGATAATTATTATTACGCAGTAGGTAATATATCCATGTATCTATTGATATATCAATAATATCTCTCCCGTGTCTGTTACCAGATCCAGATCCAGATCCAGATCCATACATATATACATGCGAATATATACAAACATAATCACATCCAAATACATACGAATATATATCTAAACACAATCACATCCAAATACAACTACAAACAAACAAAAGAATCATCCAAAACTTGGAAACGACAGAATCCCATCTCACAAATACCTACTTTTTCGTACAAACCTAAAATCTCTCTTAATTTTCCGAAGCTATATCCATGAATAAATGTGAAAATAGCTCCGTTTCCAGCCTCAATTCTACCCCTCATCCCAACTCAGCTGATGATGACAGCCGTCCAGCGACTAGGAATTTCCCTGCCTTGCATGGCAACATTCAACTGGTTACCGAGATCGATGTTTCGATAGCAACAACAACAGCAACCACAACCAAAACAACAACCGATTTTCACTCTCAACCTACCATTTGTCCACTCTGCCCAGCTTCAAAACTTCTTCCTTGCTCTCGAGAACGATTGCTCGTGTCGATACAGAAACCCAAGATATCTTCATAATGGCTGATTTGCAAAGGGGTATGCTAATATTTCTACACTCGTGACCATTCTTACACCCGGATATGCGCAAACGCTCCGAAAGCAATGGTCATGTCTCCGGATAATATATCATTCAAGGTGGAGCTCGCAGGTCGATGGTTCTGTCTCTTGCATACGAGAACCACATATCCTAAAACAGCTCCCAGGCTATGGGGCATAACTTTCATTGTCGGGGAAATTGGTAGATCCGGTAATGTCGATTGAATCGGGTTTGAATACGTACATGCAGTCCTCGTTCCTGTTCCGTCTTTTATTTTCCTCTGCGACCCTTTTCGAAAATCTAGGAAGAGACATCGTGCAAACGATCATGCAATTCACCGCATACACCATCTGCAAGCTTGACCGATATTTCAGACACAGCATTAGTAGTACCTTTTTTTAGGGGTGATTCTAGATTTTGGTGACCAAATACAGAGTCGCCGACCCCTCCCTAATCTCTTCTCGTCTATAATCCATGGGACAGGATCATCAGTACCGTCGTACCTGAGTATTCATTTATCGGGAACCGCGACCGCTGCTGGATTCAAAATCACACTCCTATTGATGTAGACCCAAGACGCTCATAAAAGTCTCATAAAAAATTATGTATCTCGCCATGACACTTTGGAAACCAAGCTATGCACCGTGGGACCTCGACAAGTCTAATCAGGAGAATTGACACCAGAAAATTATGGATGAAACTTGCCCATCACACCTCAAATACATCTGCAATGAACCAAAGGCGACCCGAGCATTCCGTGATATTAACAGTCTCCATGATTTAGCCTCGGGTGACGACGGTGATCCGATCCTCCAACTGAAAATAGCTTTTCGCTCATACCCACCCAGCTTCGGTCTCGGTTCGTTTCATTAATTTCAATAAACTCATTTCAGTTGAGTTCAACGTGTCTCTCTCTCTACTCATAAGTCATGCGTATAAATCACATTGGGTGCCACGGATGACCTTACCGTTAAGGTTTGGAAAGAAATGATGAATGACGAAGCAAGAGCAGAGATGGCAATTTCTGTACATATGTTTTCATGCATGGGAAGTATGAAGTTGGAACGAATTTCTTCGAGATACGATATAGTTATCAGGGGTAGGTAGCATCAGAGTTTTATGGTAAAGCACGGGAAGTCACCGAGGATCGCAAGGGAAGAAGTGATGGGTGAGCTGTACCAAGATTCGTCTCCGCATTTCTTGGGCGTCTAAAGGTAAGAGCTAGCTGGTTTCGGATTAAGTACTTGGGTAGATCACTCTATTTTCGTGCGGTCACATCTGTAAAACAGGCATAGGATTCCGACGACTTCAATTTTTTTATTATATGTTCTGATCACACCAAAACTCCATCGCTTCATCTTTTTATCACGACACTACTAGACGCGTATACCCCACTCTACTTGGACAAGTCTTGCCATCTCCTGAAGCAAATCTGCCTGGGCTGTCAAAGGCCGAGAATTTCTCAACCCATGAACTTGACAACGAATGGTTTGAGACTTTGAGAACCTGTATTGCTGTACTCCCCTAGTTGAGTGTGCTATAATTTGATCTTTGCGATATTCCTCAAAGGCTCTCGGGAGAACACTCATCATTACATAAGAAAGTCATCAATGTGTTCCCAGGAAAGAGTCCTGCAAGATCAGTCATCTTGCAAGTGGAAGTGTCGATGTATTTTTTGATTATGATCTTCAGAGTTTCAAACATTTGACTTTATAACTCCTAGAAGAAATATATACTTTGCAGCCTTCCTTTTGTTCTCGATTCGTTTTCAATGTCAGAAACGCTGGAAATGTGGAAAACTTTATGGACATGTGCTCAAGCTCAAAATCAAATATTCGAAGATTTTACAATCGGTACATTTCAAGAACGAAGCTCTGATGGGAGTGCCAAGTATCCCTTGTGTCAAAGTTGACACAGGGATTGAGAAATCAGCCTTTCTCGATCTCCATTTTGGTAAGAGATTCCCCAAGTCTATATTCTCCAGTCATTTCAATGTTCCTCCAAGGCTGAGGCGCTACGCGCCAGTTATTCGGATTCGTAAATTTCTTGACGAGGTTTGTAGGCGCCAACAATCCAAATTGCGGGGCGATCCGACGTTCTTGCTCTCAAAATGAAGTTGGTGACCTAGAACTCAGCCCTGTCTCTGCTCTCTTAAATAGCATAAATCTGCTCCATATTTTAGCCATGCTCGAGACCTTTTTTACCTTTCATCCTTCGGGCCTGGAATTCTATTCGGTCTCATCATGAAAATGTCAATTCGAACCACTCTGTTGATAATATCACTATGGACGATACAAACATATGGCCTTAGACACCTCCCAAAGAGAAGTAGGTCGTTCATTGACTACTTCTTTGTTCAAAACTGACATCAAGCAGCGGCCTCTATCTCATATAATGAAACATCAACGGGTTCCGGAACAGCTACCACTACTCCTGAAGCAAGTCTCGAATGCTGCTATCTCTCTTCATTTCAAGTCGGCCAAGTTCTATGGTATTCTGAAAGCATCGATATTACTGTAGCTACTGTCTCTACTATCGTTTACCAGTACGACGACACAGCCATCACGAGTATCCAGACCATTCCTACAAACTTTACAGCCCCATCGAAACCCATAACGCGATCGTCAATTAGTGGTCTTCCTACAACCATAATTGGGACTGATTTGGGGGTTTACGGAGCCGAGACAACCTTCATTCACGGTACCGCTTTCACCGATCCTTATGGAAAAGTCTATGAATCGCCAACACCTGTTTGGGTATATACAGATGTCATATATGCAACTGCATCACCGACATTCAAGCATGGTTCATACGCATGCCCTCGTCCGAGTGACATCAGAAGCTCATCCGGTGATGAAATATCTCCTTATCCATCTGGGTTCTTTCTTGCCGATGAAGATACAGATTACGGCTGGAACTCGCCAGGAGCTTTTTCAACAACATTGCCAATGCAATTGCGTGATTGGATGGTCAAGTATGCCGCATCAGATAAATCAGACTCCCTAACAAACATTGAAAATTGTAAATTGGGTGCTGGACGAGGTGTTCCCACCGCCTTTGTCCCCTATAATGAAATCACAGCTACTATCACCTCCACATCAATTATGAATGCGAACTATGGTGCCGATATTGTTGCAACTTCAACCAGCGAGACAACTGAATCATCAACATCCGCATCATCTAGAATATCGTCCACCACTTCGAGTCACACTACTACCTCATATTTCACTCGCTCAACCACTACAACCTCCACTACTACAAGTACCAAAACAGCAATATTATCCAGCATCCAAACAAAAATTTCGGCAGTGAACGCAGCCGTCATAAACACAATTACCTCAACGCCAGTCGAAACACCCTCTTCCGTTTCCAAGGCATCAAGTACTACATCTACCACCTCGCTCTATAATATAGCGGGCGATGAAACAATGGCGCAAAACGAGACGGTGGCAGGAAGTGCAACTACATCTGCGATTAGTGGAGGAGGATTAGGGAAAATTGTGGTGGTTATGGATTGGGCTAGCACGAGTACTTCAGAGGGGGTCTTGGGGGCGCAGACTGGAACATCAACGATACCAGCGTTAGCTGATAGTACAGCTGCGGGGGTAGTGCAGAGTTCGAAGACTTCTGAGGGCATCCCAGGGAGGAAGACTGATATTGTGTGGTTGGGTAGTGCGATTTTGGTGGTTTTGGTTGGGGCTCTGGGTTTGTAAGTGGGTTTGTAAATCAGACGGATTGGACTTGGTTAGACATTGTATAGTAGAGGAACTTATGAAGGACATTCTGTATATATGTTATTTGTACTTGGATATGTATTTAGAAACTTGAAGTTACATACGATGTATCGTACGATACATTTTGCATAAGATCCAGTTTGGGCATTATGTGTTATGATATCCTTGGCAGATGAGGTGGGTCACAGAATTATGATCTGCATCGTCATCATAAGGGTACTGACTGCCAGATTGAAAAAGGGGAAAAGAAATATGCAGATATACTTGAAATCGCATTGCTCCTCATTCATTCATAAGCCCCTCCACGCTCACCATACTTTGTATATTTAACTGTCACTTGACTCACTCCCGATAACGATATCAAACTTTGCTGACTAAGAAATAAACTCCCGCATCTAAGTTGCAGGCGCGTTTCATCAGATCGCGTCGGCTACTATCTCTCGGACTTTTTTATGCGATAACTTTTGTTACGGTGATATGAATGATGCCTCCTCCAAAGTCATGGATTTTGTAAGTTTGCGGCGTTTCTTTTGGGTGTGAGAGTGTTTGTTGTGTATTTGATATGACATCGTATCTTGATTCTGTGCAAAGAGATAGATAGATCTCTAGATGAGGAAGTGCAGTTACTGATATTTGTTTTCGATCATTAGTGGCAACGCTTGATAGCGGGCACATCGCTCGCGCCAGCCGGCAGCAAGGTCACGTTGAACAATCCGGAAAAACGATTGGCGAGGTTCAAGAGGGAATATAATCGTCTTTTGGTAAGAGAAGAGTGCTCTTGTGCGAATGTGGGGGACGGTGAGAAGGGAGAGCTAATCGGCATATCTTGTAGCAATTATGGCGCAATGCGACGGATCTCTCTCGAGATTACGACGCCGCGGATCAAATACGCATATGTCTGTCTGAAATCACTCGAGTGCTCGGTGATGAGTCTCGTCGTCCTTTACCACATCCTTGCATAGCTTTTGCGGCGGAAAAACAAATCTACATCTCGATTGGGAAGATAGCTACGACGTCGTATAATGAGGGGATTATTAGGGAGGCGGTATCTCTCTTTGCTGCATTGCTTGATAGCGAGGAGGAGAATTTCGTCGAGAATGATGTTTTCGCTAAAAGTCTCATGAATCTGCTGGTTCGGATTACCGGGTCGAATAATATTAATCTGGGCTCGGAATTGGCGGTCGAGGTGGTGGAGCTGTCATTCAATATCACGACCAAGATTCGACTTGACCCGGAAATTTTGCCGGTTTGGTTTACTTCGCAACGAAGGGATGAGGATGTCGCAAAGGGATATACTGCGGATCCGCATGAGAAGTTTGCGGGAAAGACACACAAGGAGGATTTTCAACTGTTCTATCTGTTGATTGATTACATACATGAGGAAGGGAGATGTGGAGATTTTGCGAGGACAGGTCTTCTCTATATTATTGAAGCAGCTTCGAATGATGTGGCACTGGAGCAATGGATAGTCGAGAGTGATTTGGCTACTCTCATGGCTACAGGACTCGGTGCACTATACAGTCAGCTCAGTCGAAAACTTGTTATTGATCATCCTCCGGATGCATTACCTCCTGTGCTCGCTCTTTCGGATTATCGACACCCTCTTACCACACATGAGATCGTGAGCTCCGTCGATGAGGACTATCAATCGCATATGGAAACTTTTCTTTCACATTTGGTCTTCTGGCAGGATGTGCTGAATCATTGCAAATCCATGGAGGTTAAACAGACACTCTTGGAGCACTTTCAGGTCATTTTTCTACAACAGCTACTGTATGGGTTCTTTGTCATTCCTTGGCTGCTAAAACTAATGTCTGTAATAGATATCCATCTTTACTCGAATCTTCAGATGTTGATGGAGGCTCATCGGTTGCAGTATTGACATATTTACGACGAATTCTAGAGTCTTTAGATCATCCTGATATGATTCATCTTATCCTTCATTACCTTCTCGCTTTACCTGATACTACACCAGCTCCTTCAGGCTCGAAAGCTTCTGTGAGCGCCGCGAGGAAACGAAAGTCTTTAGATCTTGCAACTCTAGTTGCTCTACAGGTAGAAGGAGGTGCCCCTGCATTATACAATCTGGTGGATCTTATTCTAGGCAGTTTACGATCAGAAAGTTCACAGACTGTAACTGTTACGTTGCAGCTTTTATCTGTTATTTTGAAACGACATCATCGATACGCTGTGACCACACTACTTCGAACAGGTCATGTATTGGGTAACGGCCCGCAACGTTCTATTGCAGCTCATGAAAGAGAAATTGAGTGCTTACTCACGATGGCCGAAGATCTTGGCGGTGAAGATAACTTCGATGACGTTTATGGAAGTCACATCAAAGATAGTATGAATATTTTGGAAAGTCACTCTTGTTCCATCGCACTTGTTGCGCCTAAATCAGCCAGTGGAACTTCTAAATTTCCAGGTTCTCAAGCGACAATTCCTGGTGCGCCAAGAGATATTCGTCCACACACTTTGAGACCTGAAGATCCGGTTCTTATGACTTTACTCGATATCTTGTCGACATTTTTCATGAATTCCGTCGAAACAAATCTTTCTTTGACAGCCGCAATTATTGATTTGGCGACATGTGGCTACATGAGTATTGATGGGTGGCTTTTACCTGACCCTTCGAAATATGTATATGAAGAATCTGAAGAAGGCAGAACTGATGAAATTGTGGACGATCTTCTTCTCGCTAATATAGGAGATCCGGACGAAATTTTGGAGAAAGCACAAATTCGTGCTTTAAAACTAACACAACGTCGTCTCAAATGGTCAGAAACACCAAAACCAGAATTACTTACCAGACTTGATATGTTGGTCGATCAGGTTAATAGTTATCGAGCCGAAATTCCTCGATTTGAAGATATACTTCAGCAACGTCGTGATGCGTTCCAACAAGCAGCATCTATGACCACTCCAGTTCGTCATCGACCTAGAAGTTACCGTGAATCATCCGCCCATGCAGAATCACCGCCTCGTCAATCCGCCCTCGATAAAGTAGCTCAACGTATTTTCTCCGGTGACTTTAATACCCCTCCTAGATCAGGATCTCCACAAACTCGCGGTCGTCCAGCAAATCCAAGTCGTGAACAGAGAAGTACGAGTGGCAGTCATGGGTTCTCTACTCCTACAAATCGGACGTTGAATCCGCCACCTCAGTTCTTATCGAGTGCGGAGTCGCCCAGTAGGGGGAGTTCGCAATCGAGAAGTCAGGAGGAGGAAAGGAGGGAGAGAGTTGTTGTGCCTAGTCAGGCAGCGGCATTTGCGGCTATTGATCAGGGGATCTTGAATAGGAGGGTAGGGATTCCGGAGAAGGTTAAGAGAGATGAAGTTATAGCGATACCGTTTCCGGATCTTAAAGTTGCTAAAAAGAGAACAGGGGAGAGCGGGGATAGGGGTGAGAGTGAAGTGGAAGCCAAAGTGGAAGCGGAAGCTTCGGAAACCACGGATGGAGCGGTGGAAAGTAAAACTCTTGTGGAGAATTTTGAGATGGATGGTAGTGGGGCGGAGGGGAGTGGTGGTTCAAAGGGGAAGGAGGAAAAGAAGGAGGGAGAGGCTGAGGCAGTGATGAATGCAGAGGGAGAGAAAGAAGATAAAAAGGTAAGCGTAAGTCACATTTTGACAAATGTTATCGTGTTGCAGGAGTTTTTGTTGGAGTTGGCGGCGTTGGTGCAGGTTAGAGCGGGACTTTTTGGGGAGGTTAAGTTTGTTTAGATTTTTTTTGTGGTTGCTTGGTTGCTTGGTTGGATGGTTGGTTGGGGGAGGTGGGGAGAGATGGAGAGAGAAGAGGTGAGATTAGATGAGGGGGTTGGATGGATGAGGAATGTGATCATGGGGATGATGGGGATGGGGAAGGGGAAGGGATTTGTAGAATGAGATTGAAGAAGGTAGATGAGTAAGGAAGAGAAGAGGATAGAAAGGAACAAGAAAGGAGGTGAGAAATTTAGTTAGTTAGTCCATGTGTATATGATACCTTTTCTCATTCATTCATTGTAAAGCATTGATTAACTCGTCTCGCTTGTTTGTTTGCTTGTTTGCTTGCTTTACTCTCTTAGGGTTAGTATTGCGAGGTGAGGTGAGTTTGGTGTATGTTTGTATGTTTGTGTGTTTATAGAGATAGTTGGATAGTTGGATATATATACATATATGTTTATTTGCCTTTCTATTTATCTATTCATTTAAATATATACATATATAGTTAGTTATCCATATATAAACATACTTCCTTATCTATCTTTCTTACCTTTCTAATTCTTTTTACTATACTTCTTTCCTTATATACTTCCTTATATACTTCTTTATATACTACCTTATATACTACCTTACCTTCCTTACCTTCCTAATTATGAGATTGGAATTCAAAAAATGGAAATTTTCATTGTATATCTAGATAGTTGGAGTTGGAGTTGTCGTTGTAGTTAGTATGTTGTGATATTGATTTGTTTGATTCATTTGATTTGGTTGTCTGTTTGCTTTGCCTGGGTATTAGATGGGATTGTGAGATTTACTGGAGGGGTTTTTTTTTTTGGGTAGTAGAATTGTGCGGGGGCTTGGAGGGGGTCGAGGGATTGTTTAGATGTGGATGGGGATGGGGAGTTGTGCAGGGGGATTCTTGGATGGTGTGGTTAGGGGGGGGTTGTGAGATGATTGGTTTGGATTTGTGGGTGGGAGGCAAATCGGTTGAAGGGAGGCAATCGAAGGAAGTGGGGAGTTGGTAGGTACGTGGAGTTGGAAGAATGGAGAATATGGTATTCATAGAGTTGGGATGAGGGAGTTGGGGAGTTGTGGAGTATTTGTAGTATTGGGGGGGAGAGTTGGATTTTATTGTGATATGTGGTTTTTGTGAATGGTTTGGGAGAGATTTTGGGATGGGGATTGGGATGGGGATTGGGACTGGGAGATCAGGAGATGATTTTAGAAATTTGTAATAGAGATAACAGTAAAGATTCGTAATAAAGCTATGCAGCAAA